AAGTAGCTTTTTTACTTCATCTAATTCCTTAAAGATCCCTAACAAAGCAAAACAGGTGAGGTGGACATTTGGCTTAGCAGTTTACTCTCTGTTTGGGAAGCCCAGATCCCATATCAGAGTACTTGGGTTCAAGTCCAGGCTCCACTGTCAATTTCAGCTTCCTGCTAATGTGCACCATGGGATGGGTGATGTCCCAAGTGCTTGGGTCCCTTACAATCACATGGAACACCCAGATTCAGTTTCAGTCTCCTGACTTTGACCTGATTCAGCCTTGGCTATCCCAGGCCTCTGTGGAATGAACCAGAGGTTGAAAGAGCTCTCTCTGTGTCTTTCTCTGTTTCTCTGCCTTCCAAATAAATAAATAGAATTTTAAAGACAAAACAGGTAATATTCTATGATGTTGCTTGTATTTCAGGATGCATAAGAAAAGAAAAATTTGCAAAGACTAAGATGGAAGAGCTTTAATGCGAGGTGGCTACACAGTTTAAGAATAAGAAACCCCAGGGTTAAAGTACTAATTATACCAGTCCACCTCAACTGGGAGGAGTATCATCAATTTGGTTTCCCTAAAAATTTCTAAGTGCTATCCTGCTGTTCTGCAGGGTGTATTAAACACTTCCTTGAGCCATTAGGGTAGACTGGGACTGAATGATAGCGTATCAGTGTAAACTTTCCAATTTATAAATAGTAGTACTTTGACTCCTGGCCTTAGCTGTGGTAGTGTATTAGGGCAAATTTAAATCACATATTAAACAACAATTGTGTATATAGCTTCAATAACCATTTTATACTTCAAAGTACAATTGAGAGTGAATATCTATGTATTAGAAAAATAGCAGAATTCTTCCCTCAAATCAACATCTATTGAGATCTTATCACATGCCAAGAAGGATTGACTTTACATTCCTTAAAGGCAATTCTATGCCTATCTTAGTAATTGCTGGATCCTTAGCATTTAATTAATGTGGTGACTAAAATGACAGGCATTCAATGAGTATAGCTTGAAAAATGTGAGACAGACAAGCACTAAATGATCATTCAAAAGACATGTAATACTATAAGTACTATAAACATGTGGACAAAATACTTTGGGATCTCAGGCTAGGAAGAGTTGAACTCTAGCTGCAGGCTCTGGGTGAAGCCTCATTGAAGAAGGAATACCTCTGAAGTGAGTGTTGAATGATTCCTAAAGCTTGACAGGTTGACAGCAAATGAAGTTGTATCCTCATTAGTATGTTGCAGGATTATAAAACTCAAATGCCTTCAGGAACTAGATAGCCAACTTATAGAAAGAGGCGGCCTGAGGAGGAACTGTGTGGAAACTAGTGAGCACAGTTCTGCCTGAATGAAAGCAGCCATATCGCTCTTGCTAATTGTTGATGGATGGGATTGAGGAATCCAGGTTGCCTGATTGACTAAGTCTCCAGAGAGGCCATAAATCTAGACTGTTCTGTAAAATCTTTACTTTTTAACTATCGTCAGATAATTAAAACTGGCTTTGTGTGTGTGACTTTTTACTTTGTTGTCATACCTTGGATGAATTGACTTCTCATTCCTTGCTTTCATCAACAATATTCTCCATTCCTTGTTTCCATCAACAACAAATGTTCACTGAAATAAAACACAAATTACTTCAACATTATTTTCTGTGCATATATAAGTTATATCATAAGAGGGGAGAGTTTGAAATCTCTATTTTGGGTGACCCATGAAATAAAAATTACCAGTTAATATTTTGCCGTTTTCTACTTTTAAGAAAGGTTAAGTATAATATTTTAAGTGTATAAACCATATTTTATGATTTCCTTTTTAAGAAAGTTGCCTTAAAACTTTCAAGAACCTACATTTGGCTGATTTTTAAAGAGTTCTTAAGAAGCCCTTTTACAACAGATGGATAAGTAGATGAAGACTATATATTATAGCAAAGAGGGCTTTCCTAAAAATGGTAAATAACATAAAATATCTTAACCTTGTCTTTTGTGCACAAAGGCACCTTTAAGGGTGTCTCCCATAAGTGCTGTATTAACACAGAAGTTTTGTTAACTATAGCCACTATTCTCACGTACCTTAACTGAGTGTGAATACCAAGCAATCAAATAGTATGCCCCTGAGCATTAATACCTAATGAAATTGGATTCCTTGTTTCTTCTAATGAGCTCATTGCTTTTCTAAATATGGTCATTGTGGGTAAATGATCAATAACTTAGAAACTGACACTACGATTATTTTGGCAAGATAGAAATACTCGTGTTAGTGTTAACTAGCAGTTTTTGCATATAATCTCAGACCACTTTCTAAATAAGGTGATATATTTGGAAGGGCTGTAGTAGGCTAGTTAGCTTGTTGTGTGGCTGACTTCAACAGCAGGAAACTGTGGACAGTCACTGATTTTAGCACAACGACTTGATAGCCACACACTTAGCTCAAGTTACAATAAACTGGATCGGCATGTTTCTGTTAACAGAGAGACCCAAGGGCAGAAGGCTATCAGAAGGTCTCTCCTGTTTTGATGTAGCAGTTCAATGCAATATGTCTCCACTTAGTTTCTTAGGGGTGTTGTAATAAAGGACCGAAACCAGTGGCTTAACACAAGAGAAATTTATTCCTTGCTGTTCCAGAGGCCAGGAATTTGAAATGGATGTGTTGGCAAGGCTGTGCTGCCTCTGAAGGATCTAGGGAAAGTTTTTTCCTTCACCTCTTCCAGCTTGCCATCCATGCTCGGGTGCTGCTTACTGTGGCTGCATGACCCCAATCCCTGCCTCCTTGGCCACACTGCCTTCTTTTTGCATGTCTCTCTCTCTCTCCTTTGCATGTCTCTTACATAGATAGTTGTCACTGATTTGAGCCCATCTGCATAATGTAAGATGATCTCCTCACTGAAGATTCTTAATTTAATTACTCTGCAAAAGACCTTTTTTCATTACAGTCATATTTACAGGCATATTTTTGAGGGTCACCAATCTGCTTTTCTCCATTTAATTATTTAGTTAGTAAAATTTGATGTAGCCACTATTTAGGTAGGTCATTGTGATGTTCCAGCACTATACTACTATTTCTTTCCATTTGTTGAGGAAACTGTTTATGTCATGTGTATTTATAATTTTTAAATATATGTATTCACCCTATCATGTTATCTCCTTTATACAGATCAGGAGGTCAAGGTTCAGGAGCAACAACATCTTGTCTCATTTAACACACAGCTAATAAGTGTGTCCATTTATATTGAAAGTGTATGTATATGAGATTCTCACATCCTTCTTTGAGAATTGATGTGTTAGATTTCATGAGATGGATTTTCTTTGTTAAATTTTTAGTCTCTGGGTTTCCCCAGATCAGATGGTTTTCCATAAAGTTCAGAGCATTGCTTATGGATTTTACCATAAGAAAAGGAAGTACAAGAGAGGCTTTATACAAGAATAGCCTTGGGATGAGATTCAAGCTGGAGCTTATTTTACCCAAATATCCAACTTTGGAGTTTTTAGCCTGAAACAAATTTGTTTCTTTTCTTTCTTTCTCTCTCTTTTTTTTTTTTTTTGGAAATTATTAAAAGTACACTGCCATGCTTAATAACACACAGGGAGACTGCTGCCTTCAAGTCCTAACTCCTCCATTTATTAACTACACTTCCTCAGGGTTATTGTTTAATTTTCCTGTGCTTCCATTTCTTTATTTGTAAAATGAATGATAATAATGATATGTCAGAACATTCTTTAAGGAGTATATGAAATAATAAGCTTAAATATTGTCTATCTCATAGTATAGATTCAATACACAGTCATTCACTACTTGCAGTTAAACATATTTTACATAAAAAGAGAGGTGCCACGTTCAAAACTGTGGTGGGCTTTCAGGCAGCAGAGATTTCCTTGGCACAAACCAGAGCTTCAGTGCAGAGCTTGGACAGAGTTTCACATGGCCGTATTCCTTGATGTTATTTTCTTTTGCAAAACAGTGTTCTTTCCCCCTTGCTTTCCACTCCACACCAATTTAATCCCCTTTTTTGCATTCTTCTTCCTACACTGCTACGCAAGTTATTCTTTGTTGGGGAAACTTTTTAAATTTTCCTTTTCCAAAGTAATTCTTAGTTATAGTTTACTAAACTATTCCCAGATTTCCAAGGTAATGTGACTCTGTAATTGAGTCAGAAGAAACTGCGTTCCATATGCATGAGCTCTGTCAAGAACACTTGAAGCTGTTTGCTATTGGCATGTTTACAATTTAAGAAACCTATTATTACTTACATTTTGTGGATAAAATATGGGAAACTTCGAGGCACTCATGGCTTTTAGCATCAAGTGGACACTTAGAGTCATCCCCACTTTATTTCTAAGTAAAAGTGGTTTACAGATGTCAAGTTATATTAAATTAATGTTTGGAATATTTTTTTACATCTGTATCATAGTATAAACATTTGTAATATATCAGTGGCGCAGGGAGGGAAAGGATACTGGAGTGGAGTGGTCTTTATACTTCATCTATTGGTGTGTTTTCATTTATTGGCTATATTGGCTAATTATTTTAAATTTATGAACTCATATAAAATAGCAGCTTTCTTCATGCAACTCAGTATTCATGATGAAGACAAATAGACTCAAAATGTTAACAATTGTCATGCATTTTTGTGCATTTTTTTTTTTTTGATGAGTAAATGTCAGCACAGGGAAGTGAAAGATTGTCTCCAGGTTAAACTAGGAACCAATAATAGATATCTGAATATATTTAGTTCTGATTTTATCCCTCCTACCTGGAACTTAAATTCTCTCTCTTCTACATCCACTCCCATAAGAAAGTGGATTCATTTCTTGCTCAGAAAGCCTTTCATTGTCAGAGCCTAAGGTAAAACATTCTAATATGCATTGTTGCTGTAAATGAAATTCTGATCATGCTAGTAAGCAGTGTACTTTGCTGTTGAACACAACAGCTGAGTGCCCTCTTTGAGCCACGGGAACTGAAGTGCACCTGCCTGAGTTGTCTCACACAGTGTTTTCTCCAACCTCTAGGTGAGCACAAAATGCCGAGGCCTCTGGTGGGAGTGTGTCACAAATGCTTTTGATGGGATTCGCACCTGTGATGAGTATGATTCCATATATGCAGAACACCCCTGTACGTATGCCTTGAATCTCCCTTCTTGTCCAGAAAAAAAAAAAAGAAAGAAAGAAAGAAAAGAAAAACAGAAAATCAAAAACTGAGCTCAGCTTTCTAGTGTGTGTGTTTTTTTTTTTTTTTGATAGACTGTATTAAGTTTCTATCCAACTTAAAATGTTTCAATTAGAAATTGAGTTCATTTCTGAAATGGGATTTTCAAACTTCTTTTTTTATTTATTTACTTATTTTTATTTTTTTGACAGGCAGAGTGGACAGTGAGAGAGAGACAGAGAGAAAGGTCTTCCTTTGCCGTTGGTTCACCCTCCAATGGCCGCCACGGACGGCGCGCTGCGGCCGGCGCACTGCGCTGATCCAATGGCAGGAGCCAGGTACTTCTCCTGGTCTCCCATGGGGTGCAGGGCCCAAGTACTTGGGCTATCCTCCACTGCATTCCCTGGCCACAGCAGAGAGCTGGCCTGGAAGAGGGGCAACTGGGACAGAATCCGGTGCCCCGACCGGGACTAGAACCTGGTGTGCTGGCACCGCAAGGCAGAGGATTAGCCTAGTGAGCGGAGGTGCCAGCCGGATTTTCAAACTATTTTGCATACTTCTCTATACATTTGTAAATTTCTTGAGGTTAAAAATATTCTCTCTTTCACCACTGATATCCTCAAAAGGTTCTGGCATACTGCCTCAGACAGAGTGGGACTATAGTAAAATCTTTTTGAGTTGAATTAATTTCTTTAAGGCATTGTGATTTTATGACTGGAATGGAAAAGTTAGATGAAAAGCATTTAAGAGACAACTTTAAGCTATGACTTAGATCAAATAGAAGGTTTACAGTCACTTCACCTGAGCGTTTCTAGGAAAGAAAGAGGTGGAGAGGGAGTAGGAGAGAGAGTAACAGACACAGTCAAATAGATAATCCAGGAAACTCACACCTATGGGGATCAGTGTATAAAAAAAAAAATCAACACAGAGGACACATTGTTGGCAGTGTTAATGCTGGATCCTCATGTTCCTCACTTTCATCTTTAAATTATCATTGGGTGTTACCAAGGCCCATGTTATCATGAATAAAGAGATATCTTAAGTTAAGAATCTTATTGATTGGTTCAACACTTCTCCATAGCATTTATTAACATTTTTAGAACATTGAACCGTGCCAAGAAACACTGGTCTCATTATTAAAGCGAAGTGGTTTTAGTCTCTTTCAAAGCAAATGATGGGTGATGGCACCACATGGCAAGTTCTTTTCTCAAGATAAATGAAATGTAAACCCTTGGAATGTGGTTTTTCCTCTGGACAGCTTTTGCAAGCAAGGACAAACACAAAGAACAACACTCTCAAATTTCTTTAGCTGTTATTTAGGAGGTATATGCCTGAAACATTTTAAAATATAATCCATAAGGCTTTTGTTTTATATTTACTAATATAGGAATGAATATATACTCATATATATTGTTAAGATAATTATACGTATACATAGATATATATACCATATTGACCCACTCATAAGGCAAAAACTAATTTTATGTATTGATTTCCTTTTAGAAAAATCATACCTTTAAAAAATTAAAACAAGGAAAATTTTCTGCATTTTGGCACACAAATTATTATCAAATAAGCCCTATGATTACCTCCACTACTGGGAAAAATTATTTAAAATGCAAGAAGACCCCATGTCATAATAAAAATAAAATATAGTTACTGTACTGCGATTGGAATGAATTGTATTACTCTTATCCCTCAGCCAAGTATCACAAATAGCTTCCATTTCAAGTAGTCTTCCTCCATTCGTGCCATGATTTCCCTCTTTTTAAATCAGCATAACTGCCACTCAGAGTGTGCGAAGATCTGACAGTTGGAAAAACCTCTCCTGCAGAAGCTGATGCTAGAGTTCCTCATCTACGCACCTGATCTTCTCTTTCCTGGACCTTCCACCATGTATTCTTGTTGAGCTGTAGCTTTAGAATATGCTAATTTGACAAATGCGAAGTTGAAGGATTCATACAGAATGTTGGCCAAGAAAGGTCACAATCTGAAAGACTGAAGGAGAACGTGACCTGACTTCTAGAGACAGTCTGCTTCGGAACGGCAGAAGCTAATTCTTCTAAAGAATTGCTGATGGCTCCATAAGCCCGAATTAATGAATTTTAAAAACTTTTATCTTGCTACCCTGGGCCAAATTTTAATTAATTACTATTTATTCTTGGAAAGAAAACTTTAATTGTAGTAATCGTGTATTCATTCAGTACTCATTGGGTAATGTCTGCAGAATAGTTAATCCACCTTCAGCTCAGCATTCAGCTATAATACTGGTGAACAATATTTTTTCCCAGAGCATGTGGAAAATGTAAAGCATGTATTAAACCCCCCACTATCTACTAGGATGTTACCTGTTATGATGCCAGAAAAACCAAGTACAAATGAATGCTTAACTTAATAATAATGTGAATAATATTGTGTTTTTAAATTTTTATGAAAAAAAATTAGGGATGCTCATAGCCAAGTTCATGCAAATTTACTATCTGACTTCTGCTGTCGCACCTATGTTGATGCATATAGCTGTCTGGTTTCTGATGCACCTCCGAGAGTTTCCCTCCTCTGACTCTACTGTAACCACACCTCCTGGTCTTCCAGTGAAGCTGGTGGCAACCCGAGCATTGATGATTACTGCAGATATTCTAGCTGGATTTGGATTCATCAGCCTGATCCTTGGTCTTGACTGCATAAAATTCCTTCCTAATGAGCCATACATTAAAGCGCGCATCTGCTTTGTTGCTGGAACCACAATGCTAATAGCAGGTACTTGTCTGGGCTGGCAATAGCAATAGAGAAACTCACTTAGGAACATGAGGTGAAGGAAAAGGGTGCTGTTCTGATTCAGTTTGTTTTAGCATCATGTGTAGTTTGCTTTTCTACATTGAATCCATGAAGAGTACATCCATCATGGGCCAGCATTGTGGGAATAGCGGGTATTCCATATGGGCACTGGCTTGTTTCCTGGTTGCTCCACTTATGATTCAAGTCCCCGTTACTGGCCAGGGAAAAGCAAGAGAAGATGGTACAGGTGTTTGGGCCCCTAAAACCATGTGGGAGACTCAAATGAAGCACCTGGTGGCCAGGCCATTTTGGCCACCTGGGGAGTGAATCAGCAGATAGAAAATCTTTCCCTACCCCTCCTCCTACCCCATAGCTCTGCTTTTCAAATAAATACATAAATCTTTTTATAAAAAATTAAAAATAACACATCTGTCAGACCTACCTGGCTTTAGAATATGACAATTAATCATATGTTAATATGCCAAATTAAGGTATGTGATATAATTTTAACTATTTACAAAATTATATAATGCTGTGGAGTTTTAAAATAATTTCCTTTGTGATTATTCCTGATGTTAAATGAAAATGTAAACCCCAAGCTGCCACGTTTTTACCTTTATTCACACTGATCAATTATTTTTAGCCATGAGCTAAATTGTATCATACCCTGTGTTAGATTTTTATCATGTGCAAACCCATTTGATCATTACATTAATATAAAAATAAAGAAATTATACCATTATCCAGCCTTAAGAAGCCAATAAAGAAATGAAGTTCTGAAGACTAATAAACCAAACATAACAAATAAAAAACCAAGTCTTTGCATGGTGTTTATTAGTAAAAGTGATCTGCCTTCAATTTCAAAACTTAGTCTTCCTCTATCACAACATGATACCTTTGGGTCCTAATGCAAGTTGGGATGAAGGAATCAGAGCACAGGAAGACTGTGAAAGAAGGTGCACAGTCTCCATAGAGAAAGCCATTTTTGTACAGTTGGAATATAAGTTTGACAAACAAATATATGTGGTAATCTGACCAGGCAGTGCAGAGTAGTAAATGAATAAGTGATTTGGAAGTAAGAATCCTTTGTGATTTATATGTGTGATATCTTCATTCATGTCTTATTTCCTGATCTGCAAACTAGGGTGAAGTCAGAGCAATAATCTCTACCCTGAACTGCTCCTCTGAATAGAGCAAGCTCTTTGCATGGGGCATTACTTTTCACCCACTCAAAACTGGGACTCCCTGGTTTTTAAATATTTTACTTATTCATTTGAGAACCAGAGGGACACAATGAGTGAGAGAGAGAAGGAAAGAGAGAGATAAGGAGCTCCCCATCCACGGGTTCAGTTCCCAAGAGTCTGCAACTATTGGGGCTGAACTTGGTCAAAGCTGGAAATCAGGAACTCAGTCCAAGTCCCTGATAGGAGTGACAGGGGCCCAGCCATCTGAGCCATCACTGCTGCTTCGCAGTGTATGCACTAGCAGGAAACTGGAGTGAGAGCCAGAGGAGAGCTACAGCACCTTGGACGGCATGTAGGCATCTTAACTGCTAGGCCAAATGCCCACCCAAATCCTTGATTTTTTTTTTTTTTTTACAGAAATACTGAGTCAAGGATTTGATCCTCAGGTTTCTCATGTTGTGTTAAAGAAGTTAATTATTTTTAGGCAATTCTTCCTTCTCAGAACATCCATTCCCTTCCCTACTGATATAAAAAAGTCTGCATATACCAATGCATTTTATTTAACAAATTTAAACATTATGTAAAACTGTACAGCTCTTGCTCAAGAATACTTTTTGTAGCATCATATATACCTTATTTTTTTAAAAAATGAAATAACAAAAAATGTAAAGAAAATCAAATCTTTGAAGAAAATCCCTGAGGAAATGACTGCAGAAGTGATAAATTAAATGGCCAGGCATGGCCAAACATTCTGAACCCTGATTCAAAGTTAGCATGTTCTATACATACATGCTTAAATTCAGTAATCTGTTTCTAAGTTTCAAGAAATGAGTTTCCAATTTATACCTCTAGGAAACAGTATTATAGAAAAGATAAAGCAATTTATGCACTGTTTGCTATGGGATACATGCTTGTGATTTATTCCTTGCATTAAACAATTAGGGAGATGCAATTAAATATTAATTTAACTTGGTACCAGAGATTCCTTGGGGAAAATAGTATAAGTTTTTAGGTTTTTTAACTTACAGATTTTATTTTTTTAATGATCTGTATTCAGCTACTTGAAAGGCAGGGTTACAGAGACAGAGGGAAAGACACAAATAAGGGGAAAGAGAGACAGAGTGGGAGAGAGAGAGAGAGAGTGATTTTCCATTCACTGGTTCATTACCCAAATAACCACAATGGCCAGGCTGAAGCCAGAAGCCTGGCACACCCACCAGTGATTCTGGATCTCCCACTTGTGTGACAGAGGCCCAAGTACTTGGGTCATCTTCCACTGTCTTTCTAGGCACATTAGCAGGCAGCTGGATCAGAAGTGGAGCAGCCAGGACTTGAACCAGGGTTCATATGGGATGCATGTATGACAGGCGTAGCCTTAACCCACTAAACCACAATGCCAACCCAAATTTCAGAAACTTCTTTGTAACATAGTCTTTTGTCCCCCAATTCATTTTCTTTCTTACATGTAGGCCCTCATGTATAATTTACTCTATCAAAGTAAGGGAACCCAAGTGACATTATTTTAAAGTATTCTAGCATCAGAGAGTCTAAACTGTGGCAATTAAACTTTACTTAAAAAGTATGTTATTTCTTTATTCATTATTATATGGTGTTGGGATGGCAGATAAGGATTCATTTAAAAATAAACAAAATTTTTATGTTAGTTATTTGTTTTGATGCCAGCACACTAAAATTAATGATGTTAAAACTACAATTTCCGTATGGGTGCTGAATTGTGCACTTTTAACAATGGATCTTAAAAGTGACAGGACATCATTAATGATGCACATTTGCAATCTAAAAATTCAGTTTAGAAAGAACCTGTACTCTATTATTTGTGTTGGGTTGTCCTTATTTTTTCTGCTGTTTTTGTATTCTCTTTTGTCTAACACTAAAGTAGCAGTGGAAAGATAGGAAAATTAAAGAAAACCATTGTAATAACTAAGTGTACACAAACAGTTAAGAACTGAATTATTTCAATATTATATATTTCTCTTTGTATAAATTCAGATAAAATTTGGAAGAGACACAATATGTGTATATACACACACATATTATATATACATATATACATATACACAGATACACACATAAGTATACTCAAATGCATTCACACACACACACACACACACACACACAGGATATACAATATGAGATACAGGGATTGTCCAAAATTTGAGTTGTCCCTGAATCCACAGCATCACCGTTACCTCTCTGAATGTCTGTATTGAGTAGGAAGCAGACATCTTTGAATTTATGCTTCATGTTATCGTAGCCTCTTTCCTTCCTTTCAGGTGTCCCAGGAATCATTGGCTCTCTGTGGTATGCTGTTGATGTTTACGTAGAACGTTCTTCTCTGATTTTACATAATGTATTTCTTGGCATCCAATATAAATTTGGTTGGTCCTGTTGGCTTGCAATGGCTGGGTCTCTGGGTTGCTTTTTAGCTGGAGGTTCTCTCACCTGCTGCTTATACCTCTTTAAAGGTAAGAGCAAAATAAAATAGCACACTACCTTCCCTCTAATGTCTATTGTTTCCAAAACACTAAAAGCACACCTCAACAGGCCAAAATAATATTGTCATGAAATTCCTACTTATTACTATAAAATATTTTCAATTGTAGAGGACGAAATGATTTACAATACAGTACTCAAAACATTTTCCCTAATCAATGGTATATCAGTTGAAAAAAGAAAATTTAAGCCGTACTTTGGAAATTTATATTCATTAAATAAAAGTTAAAAAAAAAGAAAATTTAAACCTACAACAATGACCAATATTCAAACATATAATGCTATTTTGATATATTATCATACATATAACTTCACTCAATCAAGTAAATTTATATTTAGAGTTAAATGGGCAAATGAACTGAGAGATAGACAAATATTTGTTGTGAAAGAATAAAATGGCTACCAGAGGCTAGGAGAGTAGGAAAAATTTGATAAACAGATACTAAGTTATAAATACATGGGAGAAATATGTTCCAGTAGCCTTTTGCACAGTAGGACAGTTTTTGATATTGTCAATGTACTGTATGGTTTTAAAAAGCCAGAAGAAGGGGCTGGTGCTGTGGCGCAGTAGGTTAATCCTCTACCTGCAGTGCCAGCATCCCATATGGGCGCCGGTTCTAGTCCTCCACTTCCAGTCCAGCTCTCTGCTATGGCCTGGAAAAGCAGTAGAAGATGGCCCAAGTGCTCGGGCCCCTGCACCTGCATGGGAGACCAGAAAGAAACACCTGGCTCCTGGCTTTGGATCGGTGCAGCTCCGGCCATTGCGGCCATTTGGGGAGTGAATCAATGGAAGGAAGACCTTTCTCTCTGATCTCCCTCTAACTGTCTGTAACTCTAACTCTCAAATGAAATAAATAAAATCTTAAAAAAAAAAAAAGCTATAAGAAAGTACTTTAAAGTTTTCACCAAAAAGAAGTGATAAGTATTTGAGGAAACAGATATGTGTACCCTGATTTGAACATTATGCAATCTATATATGCATAGATGATCACAGAGTACACCACAAATTGACATAATTTTTATACATTAATTATAAATAACTGTTAAAAATTAAGAAGTCATTGAAGTGAAAGACAATTACAAAAAAGAATCTGGTGTATTATTTTGCTTTCCTAAAAATATCACTCGATAAACTAAGACAATTCTTCTCCTCATCAGAAAAAAAAAAAAAAAAGGAAATCACTGGACTGAATATTGCATCTGAAAATAACTTTTAGGATGAAATTTTCAGGTTTTATTCTTGAATTATTCTTCATTTCTTATTTGTTTCCTATATAAATATATAAGAATTTTATATACTTAATTCTTTTGGGGAAGAACATACAAAATGGCATGGAATTAATTTTTACATTTTCTGGTATTTACTGAGTCATACATGTTTTTATATCTTTGTGTTTATCTCTGTCAAACAGATGTTGGACCTGAGAGAAACTATCCTTATTCCATGAGGAAGCTCTATTCAACTACTGGTGTTTCCATGGCCAAGTCATATGTGGCCCCTCGGACAGAGACTGCCAAAATGTATGCTATAGACACTAGAGTATGAAATACCTCATCAATCTGTGTCTATGTTATTAAATTAAACAATCAGAACATTCAATAAAGTAGTAGCTCAATCTAGGCCTAGTTATTTAGATTTTACATTCAACTAAATTAGTTGCTAGCTTAATCAAAATGTTGCTTCCACTATTATTTCCCCTTATATTTTTATTTTTACTCATTATTTCTACTCCCCACACACTTTGCCCATATTTTAAAATAGGTTGCCTGTGTGTAGAAGTATTTTTTAGTGATTATATATATATATTTTTTTCTATTACAGATTATGTCATGAAAGTGACACTTTAACATTAATCAGCAATTTTCAAAGAAGTCCAGATTTTCAAGTTTTTAAGGGATTGGCAAATTCTTACATTTCTCATGGTTTTGGATTCAATTTTTGTATTTTCAATAAGCAAATGAATTACTTGACAACTTTGAGGGAGGTTTTTCTTCCAAATTTACAGGAATATATCCAAGGCTACTATTGCCTTGATTATGTTAGAACAGAAAATATAATAGCCTCCTGCCTAGTCATCAGTGAGAGCCAAACATAGTCCTTTCTCCACACTCTGAATGTCAAAGGAAAATGCTCAATTAATACTTGAGTCTCTGATGATTTTCTACCTCATTAAGACCTTAAGAGTTCTGCATATTATTTCACCACCACCCAAACCTGGCCCACATACTGTAAAATTATTAAACTAGAGCCATAATAACTCAATCAATGAGTTCACTCATTTATTGATTCAAATATACTTCATGAATTCACCATAATAGGATTTAGCAATTCAGCTAACTATTTCCCACTAGATCATCAGTACCCAGAAAAATAATTACAAAATTTAACTAATGTATGCTGATGAAAAGAAATAAAATTTCACAATTCTATTGAGTAAATTGATTTTTCTCATAAGATGTATTCTTTTTAAAAATGGAATTATATACACATTTAAGAAATTCAGTGATGATTGCCAACAGGATTTTATTCATGTTCATAATGTAATCATCTTAAATTTTTTAAATAATAGCTTTGTACCAGATAATAAAATTTAATTTCCAGTTGTCTGATCTTTATAATTCATGTAACTAACAATACATTTGCAAAACTTTAAAGTACTATCAACTGGACAAGAAATTAGTTGTTTGAAAAAAATGGAAAGTAAGTTGTGATTTTGAAAACCCCAAAAGATGTGTTTCAAGTTAAATTATTTTTAATTTAGAATGTTGAAAGTCATAGGAAAATGAGTTGGAATTCCAGTGCATATTAATGTTGTTGAGAATGTTGTTCATGACTTCATATAGCATCTTTTTGGCAAAATTTCAATTTAACCTTAGAGTTAAGAGCAATTGAATCATCATTATTTCGTGAATATTAACTGTGATTGACACATTAACATTTAAAAGTATTTGTAGATTTTCTGTACTAATTATATACAGATTATTCTATGTATGTAAAAACTTGTACTTTTTTCCATCTTGGTTTTTTATTTTTATTTTTTCCCATCTTTATTTCATGTTACATTGTTTACCATATCTTAGTAATTCTACGTATCTTGAAATCTTGGAGGAAGGTAGGGAAAATTAATTATAGTTCACTAGATTTTAAAGATGTAAAAGTTTCCCCATAAAGATCTTATTTGTATGAGAGAATACTTCAGAGACTTAGGATAATTAATAAGTATAACTATTTTGATTTTTTCTTAATTAAAACTTTTTTATATATTCTGAAAAGAATACTGATATTCGTTGTGAAATTTCTTTGAAATATGTATTCCTTAGCCATTATAATTAAGTGAAGAGTCTCAAAAATGCACATAAATAATACACTTGGTATAGCAATTATTGTACAACAAAAGAAGTATTAAATGGTTAGGAAATAATAATTGGTGTGGTGGCTCCACATGCCAAGTAAGAAAACAAAATATAAGGTAAAATATATATGTGTAGGTTATTAGGTTGAAACATTAAAATATTCCATTAAATTCTGGATTCTGCGATTTATTCATGTTTATTTACTACAATAAGTCAAAACAAAGCTTATAAAAGTGGACAATGCTATTTACTGCTCTCTTTATTGCATACTTACTTACCCAACATCATGTTTTTGAACTGAAATTGGCTTTTTGCTATGTGGGATCATCAAAGTTTATGGAAAACACATATCATGAGAAAACTATACATGGATTTCAGATTCTTAAAAGATTGCATCACATTGCAGCACCCTGCACAAGTCTTTAAATGTTTTTATTAGTTTATTTATTGCAGAACAGGGAGATGGAGAAACAGCAAGCTCCCCTCCATTCATTTACTCCCTCCCCCAGATGCCTACAATAGCTCTGGGGCTGGCCAGGCCAAAACATGCAGCTCAGAATTCAATCCAGCTCTTCCATGTTGGGGGCAGGTACCCCAGATACTTGAGTGATTCCTGCTGTCTCCCATGGTGCACGTTGCAGGAAATTGGAATCAGGAGCAGAGCTGTTGATATGCAGTGATTTGTAAACACATTTTATTTTTTCATTTAATAATTTCTACATTTTGGTAGTGATACAATTTTATCATATATAATACTTAGTCCACATTTAAATTTTCTTAAGTATTTCTGAATATCCTATCCAGATACCTTGTTCAATCAAGGATCTCTATTTCATTTGGTTGTTAAGTCCCTTATAAGATGCTGCACTTTCCCCCCATTGTCTCTGTCTTGTTACATATAAAAACAAATAATCTGAACCAATGTACCTACAGTTTGTCCCATTAATAAAGTTTGTTAAAAATTTAACATACAAGGATAATCATCTGGTCTATCCTTTATCTTAAGTATGCCTGCATTCCACATTGGTGTACCTGAGTTAGATTCCTGGCTACGACTCTTGGCTGCAGCTTCTTACTAACAGAGACTCTGGGAAGAAGTAGTGATGGCTTAGGTAACTGAGTTCCTACTACCCACATTGGAGACATGGATTCAGTTTCCAGCTCCCAGCTTCCACTTGCGCCCAGCCCTGACTGTAGCATTTTGGGAGTGAATCAGAAGATGGAGCACGCGTGCTCTCTCTCTCTTTTTCTCTGTGTATGTGCATGTGTGTCTTTCTGTGTGTCTGCCTCTCAAATACTTTTTAAAAATATCTAAATTAACAGAATAAAAATTTAAATGATAAACACCTTCCTTATCCACCCCCTTCGACTCCACACCCCTATTCTTCTCCCAGGAGGTATACCCATCTCTAATTTCTTGTATCATTTCAGAAAAACAAGTGGGAGATAGAAATCCTTTCAAAATATATATATATATATATATATATATATATATATATATCACTGTCATTATAATCTTCCTTTTAAAAATAAAATCAGTAACTAAATACTTGACATTTTCCATGTCACTTAGCTTTTTTTTTATTTTATTTATTTGAAAGAGTTACAGAGAGGGATAGAGACAGAGAGAGATCTTCCATCCGCTGGTTTACTCCCCAGATGACCGCAACAGTCAGAGCTGTGCAGATCCAAAGGCAGGATCCAGGAGCTTCTTCTGGGTCTCCCATGCAGGTGCAGGGACCCAAGGACTTGGGCTGTCTTCTACTGCTATCCCAGGCCACAGCAGAGATGCTGGATGGAAAGAGGAGCAGCCAGGACAAGAACTGGTACCCACATGGATGCCAGCACTTCAGGCCAGGGCATTAACCCACTGCACCACAGTGCAGGCCCTGTCACTTAGCTCTTTTAATGGCTACAAAGCTCTTTATACCATTATTTATATTTGCTTTTGTTTTCTAAAGCTGTGAAATGCGAAGAATAATAAAAGAATAATAAAATAATAATAATAAAAGGTGGAAGTCAGAAGGTAAGCTCTTCAAATTTTATGATAGAAACTAACTAAGCTAATTTATTTAATATAGCAGAAATTGAAGCAATCAATAAATCTTTCTGAAAGCAGGTAAAAGAAAGATAGGAGTCGGCGCCGCGGCTCACTAGGCTAATCCTCTGCTTTGCAGCGCCGGCACACCAGGTTCTAGTCCCAGTCGGGGCGCCGGATTCTGTCCTGGTTGCCCCTCTTCCAGGCCAGTTCTCTGCTGTGGCCAGGGAGTGCAGTGGAGGATGGCCCAAGTACTTGGGCCCTGCACCCCATGGGAGACCAGGATAAGTACCTGGCTCCTGCCATCGGATCAGCACAGTGCGCCGGCCTCAGCGCACCAGCCTTGGCGGCCATTGGAGGGTGAACCAACCGCAAAAGGAAGACCTTTCTCTCTGTGTCTCTCTCTCACTGTCCACTCTGCCTGTCAAAAAAAAAATTTAATTAATTAATTAATTTAAAAAAAAGAAAGATAGGAAACCAAAAAAAAGCATTATTGGGGTCTAAAAACGGAAGAACTAAAAATATAAGGAAACTTTATCACATGAAGTTAATGATTCACTAATGGGTGTTTCGAGTATATGCCAATTTCTTTTGCCTTCACAATGGAATAAAAATATGTCAATAAAATGATAATGAATAAGCAAATAAATGCACCCATCTGTATGCATGTATCTGTTTATAGGAATGTATATTTGCATAGCAAAATGCTCTCCCCTAAAGCCTTGCACAATTCCTCCTAGACGTGTATGCCTCAGAACTCCTCATTTTCATAGACTCAGCCTTGTTAGTGCCCATCTATTATTACCTTTGTGTAGTCCCTAGTGGGCTGCCCCTCACATTTAGCAGAATATCAAAATATTCCTTTCAACTGCATATTCTTCTTTAGTTAAAAATCAATGCTTCCATTTCCAAAGAGAGCACCTCTGCAATGTTTTGGGACTCTTAATAATTGACATCTCATGCCTTATCCAAACTCCAGTCTATGAGCACAAATGCAATTTGTTAGCTACATCACAAGTGGGTATATTTCAACAGATATCAAGTAAGAATGCAATTGTCCACTGATTATTTCTAATAAATCCCTAGGTTTCTTATTTTGTATCTGTCAATACACTTCAAGAAAAAATAATAGCTCCAACCCTTCTAAAGCAAAACAGTGATAAGTCCATAGTTTGTAGCTAAGACTTAATACATTCACCTGGACTTGGATGCATAAAACAGAGAATAATTTTAGTTGACACATGACTTCATTTTTATGGTCTGTTTTCCTATCTGATGGAGAAAAATACCCTGAGTATTTATTAAACATAAATGTATCATGTAGCACTATACTAATTAATAGAGAAAGATAATTTTCCAATGAAAGAATCTTCCACAATAGACAGATTTTAAAAAATTAAGCAACCTACATTAATTCATAATTTTAGTGATTCTTGTCATTGTAAAAATTTAAAAAAATAAAAAAAGAAAGAGGAAGGAGGAAGGGGGCATGGGCAGGAGGGAGTAGAGGGTGTGAAGTATCACATTCTTAAATCTGTATATATGAAATGCATGAAATTTGTTCACCTTACATAAATAAAAATAAAAAAGTATTTCAGTACTTCTGAGTGATATTAGTTTTCACTCTAATAATATAAAAACCTGGCATCTTTATTGATATTCATTATTTCCTTCATGAGGCAAATAGTAAGTGTGGACTGACATATTTTTAGAGGAAAAATTACTACTTTTCTGAATACACAAATAGAAATTACATTTTATTTATTACTACACTATTCATTTTGTAAGAGGTCACTACTATTTATTTCATTTTCCCAAAACTCTATTTAGTTAAATAACATAAAAATGATACTATTTTGCCAGGATCTAATTTAAATAGAAAAATGCCTATAGGGAGTTATTTTATACAGAAATCATAAAACATAATCAATTTAAATTAAAACTTTTCTTTGGAATGTACAGTCTATTCCTTTCTTTGTTCTTATTTTTTAAACAATCATTCTCTGTCGAGAAAGGGGTCTTATAGCCAACACATTTTCATTGTCTCATTTTCTCTCACACAATTCTGAAGTATTTCACATTGCACCTTAAATGTAATGTTCTGGGTGAGTTTCATTTCATTGTCCACATGAATGCTATTCAGTCCTATCCTAGTTCTATTTCATTTCCGTGGAAGATATTGAATTTTAAAGTTGTCTTTTATAAAAGTTGTGCTTCTAACACAAATGAAACAAAGCTGGAACTACAAAACTGAAAATTAGAGGACATGTAGCCAGGTAAAAAAGAAATAGGTGAGAACTATAGGGTCAGTGTTGTCGATATTACATACCTTGTGGCCACTGTATGCACAAATTAGGCTGCTTTTGCAGGCAACTCAAACTCAAGGTCTCAATCAAAAAAGGTGAAGTATATTTCATATTTTCTAGATTCCCCTGATGGCAGGCATCTCACCTGACATTCAGCTTCATTGTGAGCAATAAGAGCTAAAGTACCAAATTTTCTTTGGCATTTTCAGACCTCATTGTTATTCTATGCTTCTGTAGTCTGTCAAAAATCTAGTGTCAATAGTAACAAACCTCATGGGTTCATTTAGCCATTAAATCAAATCTAGCTAATGGGTTGGAATCAAAGGTAGACTTCTCCGCCCTCTGGTGGATGCTCTAAGAAAGACCCACAATTTACAACAGGAAAAACTTGGGCAACCATCTCTCCACAGAGACAATAATGGGAACAGGCTAGCACACTCCAAGTCACATTCATGAGAGCCATAGAAACCAAGTGGGAGACCACGGTGCCCCATCTCGTTAAAAAGCATATGAAACGTCACAAGAAAGCAAGAAGGAAAAAGTTGCTATGTGAAGCCTCACCCTGCTCCAAGGAGTGTGGTTTAGAGAAACACCCGCTTCGGAGAAGAAAAATAATCCTGGTGCGAAGCTCATTATGAAAGATTTCAGTTGAACGGAGCCCTCTAACCCCAGACCCCATGCTCAAACCTGTGAAGTGAATATTTGAAGCATCTATACCTATGTGGTCCTTGCCACTCATCTCCTAATCCTTTGCTGAAATGAAACTCCAGTCTTATGGAAAAGTCAGGAGAAG